ACTGCACAGTTACTTTTTTAAAAACCTTTAAAAAGTTCACCTTTAACTAACTTTACTTTGCTTTGTATGGCACAGTGTCATTCCACTGTTCCTCTATGGCAGCCAAGCGTATTCATAGTGGAGCTGGGTTTCCCACAGCTTGCAAAATGCCAGGCCACGGAGTTACCTACTGCAACACCCAATCTCTTTAACTATGTTGTCTTGGTGGGTGAAGAAAGCTTATATACATTAATATGGTGTAAAAGTAGTGCAAAGTGAAATTTCCGTATCCAGTTAGATGGGAATGCAACACCAGTTCATACATTTGCCCCAGTATTTTGTGCTGGTGAAAAGTGTGCAGATGTATGTGACCCCATCACTGTGCATCTCCCAGGATCCCAAGCATTAAGATGTCTGCATCCTGCTTCCCAGACCCCCTTCCCTGCCACAGCCATTGAAAGATTGTCTCTGCCTTTTACTTGAAGCCTAACTGAACATTCAGTGTAAATCAACTAAAACTCCTCCAGGTGCATCTAACAAAAGGTGTGCAAAGTCTTAAGGTGCCCATACACTGCACGATTCTCGTACGAGAATCGCGGGAAATCCCGCGATCGTACGGTCGCATCTCTTTTTCTCGAACCAGCATGCTAGAAAATCCGCCGAGAATTGTATGATTCTCGGCGGGTTTCTAGCCTGCTCGTTCGGCAACTGCGGAACGGGCCGGTGTGCGCACACGCACACTGCCCGTTCAGCATTGCGGTCATCGGAAGCCCACCCCTCAGCGGGGCTGGCTTTCGATGATCGCAAGTACGATCTGCCTGTCCAAGATGGGCAGATCGTACGAGCTTTTAATAAGCTTACGACCATCGCAAGACAAAAGTCTTACGATGGTCGTAAGGTGTATGGGCACCTTTACAGTTCGTTTTCTTTAGTAGGCAGCCACAGCCTGAGTAGAAAAGCCTGTCCCCTGCCAGCATACTGGACCCTTGCTCTCTGTGTGGAAGCAGTGCAGTGATGTCCATGAAAAGGCCCAACATGCCCTATGTTGAGTCAGAGCTAGAGCTATCCAGTCAGCAGGAAGCACAACTTTTCCTTTTGCTGATTGCAGAGATATAAGTCTGACTTTGGTGGGTGGCATGTTGGTCCTTTGCAGAGAGAACCCTGCTTCCACACAGAGAGTAAAGGTCATTCTCTGCAGTATGGTGGCAGGGGTCAGGCTTTTCTACTCAGGCTGTGGCTGCTTTTTAAAGAAACCGACTTTAAAGAACAACTCTGGTTAAAAATGTCATTAACACTTCATTGGGGCTACCCCCGCACTGCAAGGTTTAAGTGCTTGTTTTTGCCCAGGGTAAAAAAATAAAAAAAGTTATACTCGCCTGAACCTCCGAGCCGGCCGGCTGTGGCAGTCCTCCCATTTTTTATTTTGGGTATAGATATACTTTAAACTGTATTTGGTCTTTATGAATTAGGCAGAGGGAATAACAAAGATCCAATATTAAAATGGCTGCGGCAGGTAGGAGAGTCTGGGAACCAAGACATCTTATTGCTTGCATCCCTCAGGACCCAATCACACTATATCCAGATCATCTCCAGACCAGATTGTTTTCCCCGGACCCAAAATACATCCTAATGTATCCCTATGCTATTTCTGGCCTCTGTTCACACCAGCGCAGTCCGTTCCACACCAGACCAGAAAAATACTGCATGTCTCATTTTGTCTGGTCTGGAATGCACTGGAACTGCAGGCAGGTTCACACCATTTTCCGGACCAGATCCAGACCAGAAAATGGTGTCAACCTACCCTGAGACATACACAGTGAAGGTTCACATAGACCTATGCTCTGAAAACTGAACACAAGTAGAGTTCAATTTTACATAAAATGCTAGAAGATGGGGTTGGGTCTGTGAGTCAGAGACAGAAACAATGTCTGGGAGATCTGTAATCATCAATAGATATAAAGCCTGGGGATAAGTCAATAGCCACATCTTATCGAAGAACTGTAATTGCAGCGAGAGCCAAAAGCAACTGCATTTTCATTGCCCTATTGCAGGATATACAAAGAATCTGGCTGGCACTGATTACAGTTCTCTTACTGACATTATGACTAATAAGGCTCCAAGTGTATTTCCACTTTTGCAGCCAAATTGAAACACCTACCTTATATTTGTTATATGTTCCCATTCACAAAGTATCACTTAAAGGAGAACTATGGGGTCAGTGTTTTTCCCCATAGTTCTCCTACTGAAAATTGCTGTGTGTACCTTTATTCTTGCTTACAAATTCTACTCAGAATTCCCCTTCTATGTTAGGAGCTGTGGAGTTAATGTTCACCATAATTAACCCTGTGTGTACTGTGCTGGCAGATCTCATTCTCAGTTGTAAACTAGATGCGAGCGCTGTCCTAACAAAGGGTTAAAGAAGGACTCAGGGCAAACAAAAAACAAAGCCACATTGAAAGAGTTATGTGCTATTTTTTTCAAGGGGACCCTATTAACTATTGATGCACCGATATATTGGCCGCAGAAACATATCGGCCGAAAATGACACTTATGGCTAAATGCTGAATGTGCCATTTTCCTCCTGATACATTGGCGCATCCCTGCTTTTTTTCCTCCCCGCTGGGCACTGCTCTGTACCCAGGAGAGAAAGTGACAGCCGGCCGAGCGCTGCGGGAGGAGAGCACTGTGAGCGGCCGGCGTCTCCTCCCACACCACTCAGACTCCTATCACAGTCTGGCAGAGCGGTGTGGGGGCGAAGACAGCCCGCGCTGTCACAGGAGCCTGAGCTCTCCTCCCGCACCACTCTGTTTCATGCAAGGTTGTTTCATGCAAGCTTTTGGGCAGCTATAGAGCTGCCCGATCGATTGTATGCTGTCAGCAAGTTTGTGCCCTACCCCTCGGTGCCGGCTATCCCGGGCTCAGCTGTCCTCCGTGCGAGCCCTGGATCGGCATGGCGAGTCTCTGTGGCTGGATTGGAGGGAGACCGGTACACTTTTACCACCCGACCTCCCCTCTAATCACTGGATATTACATCGCTTCCGGTTTCAGTGTAAGATTTCTCTGGCTGTTGTAGCCAGAGAACAAGCTGGTGAAGCAGATCTCTACTTCATCAGCTTCTTTGCTGATCCCTAGTTGAGATTAGGAGTTTCATAGACCCCTGATGTCTCCATAAAGAGGACCTGTAAAAAAAAAAAACACATTTAAAAATTTAAGTCACATATAAAAAAATACAAATAAATCTTTAAAGTCCCCCGCCCCCCCGTACGCGCAGATATAAAACTTAAACATGGATGCACCTATGTGCGAGAATGACCATTGCGCCACACATGTTACATTTCACCGCAAACGTCGGAGTGAGAGCAATAATTTTAGGCCCATCAATCACTGATAACACTAAATTGATGAGCGGTAAAAGCTTTTAAAACGTCACATAGGGGCAATTTTTGGTTTCGTAGCTTTTTGGGATTTCTCGGGCCCACGCAATTTTAGTCCCCGTTCACACTTAGCGATTTATCGCGCGGTAATTCCCGCGATATCGCGGCAATTTACCGCGCAACATCGCTCTCCAATGCTTCTCAATGGGTCAAAGGGTCCTGCTGTCACGGGTCTGCGTCGCTACAGCATGACCCTTTTTGGAGCGGATTTAGCCTTGATTCAAGCTTGCTCAATGCAAGCATTTGCGCGATATTGCGCGACAAATCGTGCGATATCGCGCAAAATGCAAAGGCCCCATTCACACTGCGCGATTTGCAAATCGCACTTTTGTCGCGCGATTTGCATTTTGCGCGATATCGCACAATTTGTCGCGCGATATCGCGCAAATGCTTGAATTGAGCAAGCTTGAATTGCGGCTAAATCCGCTCCAAAAAGGGTCATGCTGTAGCGACGCAGACCCGTGACAGCAGGACCCTTTGACCCATTGAGAAGCATTGGAGAGCGATATCGCGCTGTAAATTGCCGTGTGAACGGGGCCTTAAGGTTTGACATGTTTGGTATCTATTTACCCGACGTGATCCCATCTTTTATATTTTACCAAAAAATTGGGTAATAATAAAGGTTTCATAACATGAGGTGAGGAAAAAAATTTTTTTTCAAAATTGTCGGTCCTTTTTTTCATTATGTAGTAAATAAAAATCCCAGTGATGATTAAATACCACCAAAAGAAAGCTCTATGTGTCCCCCCCACAAAAAGAAATTGTATAAAATGTATTTCAGTACAGCGTCGCATGACAGAAAAAATGTCAGTCAAAGTACCGCAGCGCTGAATAATGAAAAATGTCCTGGACAGGAAGGGGGTTTAACACCCCGGGCTTCAAGTGGTTAACGATCTCAAGGCTTGGGTGGTACATTGTATGTCAATGCACTTTCTCTCACTTTGCCCATCACTTTAAATTGCACTTTGAAATTGTTTAGAATAACTTGCAGTCCCGTGTATAATCCTGCTCCAAAGAAATTAGAAAGGTAAGATTTTTTTCCCCCCAAAATGATTTTAGGTGTGCTGTGTGGACAAGGAACACATATAGACATGTAGTGTGAGGGGGGTTCTCAAAACTGACTGTAAAAGTGGAAGCACACTTTAAATGCAATGTCCAGAGACATTAACAAAACCTCTCCCCTGTTCCTAGGTGAAGTGGATGATGTACTGGATAATATTTGCACTTTTCATGACAGTAGAAACATTTACAGATCTATTTCTGTGCTGGTAAGTGTCTCACGTTTACATTTTTTACATATTATATATGTATACAGTATATATTTGATATTAGATATGAGTTTCCGGTTTTCACTGAGAATACAATAGAGACGGCCCAATGTTTGGGTAGAAGTGTCTATTATCATATATGCAAATAAAAGTAAATAGTTATTTTTGTCTGGTCTTCAAGTTTTTGTAACAATGTTTCATCCTCTTTGAGTTCTCGGTGTATATAATCTATTTTCTACTTGGTTACTTTGTATCTCTTAGGTTCCCATTTTACTATGAGCTGAAAATAGCATTTGTGGCCTGGCTCCTCTCGCCTTACACCAAAGGTTCCAGTTTACTTTATCGGAAATTTGTCCACCCCACCCTGTCATCAAAAGAAAAGGTAGAGACGTTTTCATTTAAAAATATATATTTTTACATTGTATGGATCATTACCTTTGTTCTATTTTTCCTACAATCTGACCACAGTTGTCACTGCTATATGTTAGCAGCTTTTAGGCCCCATTCACACTTGCAGACTGTTTGTGTCCTGGTGCTATGTCATCTGATGGCAATCACAGCATGTGCAATTACATGAGAAGGAACTGTGAACAGCTGCATGCGGAAGCACCTGCTATTATATTGTACAGAGCCGATCGCCCACACCGGGACATGAGGTACAGGAATGTCCTCCATTCCAGTGCAGTGCAATCTGAAAAAATGCTGCATGCACTATTTTTTCAGATCGCACTGCACTGGAACGGAGGGCATTCCTGTACAAAGATTCTCAATGGGGTTAAAGGTCAGGACTCTGTGGTGGCCAATCCATGTGTGACAATGATATCTCATGCTCCCTGAACCACTCTTTCACAATTTGTGCCCGATAAATGACATCAGGGGCGTCCCGAGGCCGGGTGCCACCCAGTCTCCAGACCAGGTGTCACCCCGCCGTGTCATCATCTCGCCTGCGCGTGACGTCACCTCATGCGTGCGTGATGATGTCATCGCGCATGCGCCACCATTTGATTGACACCTGCTGGCCGCCATCTTGGTGATGGACGCCGGCAGAGAGAGGAGGGGACGTTCACCCGGCAGGATGAGGTATGCCGCTGGGTCCCTCCTGACACTGTCGGGCTCTTGGTCCATGACCAAGTGCCCAACTTTTTAGAGGCGCAATAGTGTCACCCAGGTGCGGGCCGCACCCCCCTTGTGACGCCACTGCCTGACATTATCATCTTGGAATATGCCCAATTTGCCAACAGGGAAGACATAATCCATTGATGAAAAACCTGATCATTCAGTATATTCAGGTAGGGAGCTGACCTCATTTTTTGGGCACATAACATTGCTGAACCTAGACCTGACCAACTGTGATCATAACACTAAATCCAGGTGATGTCTTTCCTTTGGCCAGGAAGCGTATTTAATATACAGGAAGTGAGTAGAAATCTCCCAAATGGGAGCTCAGACAACACTAAAAAGTTGACAGAGTTTGTAACTAGTGATGCACCGATATATGGGCCGCCGAAACATATCGGCCGAAAATGGCACATTTGGCTGAATGCCAAAAGTGTAATTTTCCTGCCAATACATCAGCGCATCCCAGGTTTCTTTCTTCCCCTCTGGGTGCTGCTCTGTGTCCCAGCAGGGTGGAGAGAAAGTGACAGCCGGCCGAGCGATGCGGGAGGAGAGAACTGTGAGCGTCCAGTGTCCCTCTTCCCACACCGCTATAACAGTCCGGCAGAGCGGTGTGGGGGCGGAGACAGCCCGCGCTTTCACAGGAGGCTGGGCTCTCCTCCCGCAGCACTCGCTCAGCCTCCTGTGACAGCGTGTGACAGAGGAGAGCGGGTAGAAGCAGTCACTGATCAGTGATCGCTGAGTGTTTGTACATAATTGAGGACATGGTATGGTTACTGCATCCTCAATTATGAATGAATGGGAGTGATCTACATCCCCTCCTGTACATTCATAGTTGTAGTTATGATGAGAACACAAAAAAGCGCCAGAGAGGACTGCTCAACCAGTACAAACCAATATACACACGAGTATAGTCAGAATCAAAGTCTGTTAAAAATTGATAAAATGAATAAAAATTGATGAATGAATAAAAGCACGTTTGTAAAAAGGTCTGTAGGATGCTGCCCCAAACCAGCCAGGGAGACTGCAAAATCAAGGGAAAAAACACAAACAAGGGGCGCCTTTCCTGGTGCAGACAAATTTATTAGGATCAGGATCAGAGGTAAATATAAAACATACTCACAAAATTCATGATTGAGGTATAAAAAGTATAAAAAATAAGTCCATGGACCCAAGGAAAAGTCTGTGAAAGCTGCACGGCCGTGTCTATGTGTCAGCAGAGGAGACTGTGTGATGTGTGATGACGCGTTTCCAGGGTCACACCCCCTTCATCAGATACAGACCTCCTCCGTCCCATGTGCTAGATAAAGTGGTGACTGGCCAATCGGCAAGTGTGCGGGAGCCCTGTCGGTTCAGACCGCAGCTGTTAGGAATGTGTGTAAAGTGTCGTCCATGGCTATAGACATGGTGCCCTGTCCTGTGACTGACGGAACTGCCCGTCGTGGCGCTGGACCAATCACGAGAAGGCTATACGTGGGCTCGCCTGGAGGGAGTGGCCAATGTTAGCGTCCAATCCATGGGGCAGTAAAAGGTATTTAATGTAATAATTATATATATATTACATTGCACCTGCAGCCGGGGGCTTCATTTAGTGGGGGGCAGGAAAGTCTGTGACACGGAGCTGGGCAGAGCAGGATCGGGAGCGCTGCTTCGCCTGCGGCCCGGTACCATTTGATCCACGGACCGGTACCGGGCCCGGGGGTTGGGGACCACTGCCTTAGGAGACATAATGTGGCCCTTTTAAAGTTTATGTAAACATTCATGTAAGCAAGTGCCTGCTTTACATTTCTACCTGTGTATGCACTTCAAAGTTTATTCAAACATTGTTCCTATAGGAGGCTTTCAGTGACCCTAGATCCTATATGTGCCATTGGTAGCTTCTGCAACCAAGGAGGACTGGGCTGGGAGGAAGTGGGACATTTGCTTCCCTGACCAGTGTTAATAATGGTATGTTGGGCTTGCGACCCTGACCATAGATACTCCCAGATTCAGACATCGATCAGTCAGTGACACATAGAGTGCCCTATTCCCAACTCCATATTTAGACCTGTGATCACAGAATCTGACAAAGTGAAGTCTTTCAGCATCAACTTCCTTTTTGGCTTTCTGGCTGGGTTTGGCCCGAGGAAGCTGATGCTGGAAGAGATACATTTTCTCAGAAATCTATTCCAACACTGAAAGGGCTACTGTGTTGTATTTACTTGTCACATTAAAGAGTTACTTCCTCTCAGTTATATATCCAATTCAAGCCTTACTTAAACGTTTGGACCTGACTGTGGAAAGCCCATTGGCGGGGAATAACAATGGCCACTCGGGAGTAATATAGTTCATTAGTGTACCATCTGTTTATCTGTTATTGGCTAATACCTGTCCCCCTTTTATTAATTCTAGGAAATTGATGAATGTCTCATCCAAGCAAAAGATCGCAGTTACGACGCCTTGGTTCACTTTGGCAAAAGAGGACTCAATGTGGCAGCTTCAGCCGCGGTCACAGCTGCAGCAAAGGTAACACAGACCTGCGTTTTTAACATAAAACACTTGTAAAATAATGGCCCCCCACACTCCCATATGCTGTATGACTGCACAGTTTGATAACAATATGTATATCTTGCATAGTCCTCTGGCATTTACATGGTGACTTGGTGTACACAGTAGGGTTGGTGGCCCTCTGTATATGCCATCTCCACATTGACTCCAGCCAACAAACAAGCACATTTTAGTTACTTTAATGGGACATCCAGGTTGCAGTAAAATTTGCTGTGTTTATGATATGGTGAAAGCTACTGTCAATGGCCACAATTTTCGTATTGGAGGCGGCACATCAAAGTCCTGTAAATATGCCGCCCAGGGCCATAGGAAGGGTGAGGTGAGTGAGGCACTCGCTTCGGGCGTAGCTGCGAGGGAGCGCAACCAGGGCCGGATCTGGACCTGCTGGGCCTGGTGCCCAGCGGGGGTAAGAGGTGGGTGGGTGCTTTGGGATTTGGATGCAATGCTGATCGCCTCACATTACCATCTCACTTACATGCAGCTTATTGGCTGGCTCTCAGGAGGGGAGGAGTTTAGGGCAGCTGCACTGCTGATTGCCTCACTAATTGGCTGATGTATGGAGTTCCCAGCTGGCAAATGGCTGTCAGCTAATGCTGCTAAAAAACAGCTGAAAACTCTATGCCCCAGCCAATGAAGCATTACACCTTTGACCCTCACACAACCCCTCCTTCTATTCACCGCACGCAGAGCTAAAAAGTGCTAAGATGGCAAGGAAGACTTCTGGATGAAGGAGACCTGGAAATTAGTTAAATATGTAATTGGGAGAATTTTCTGCCATAACCTGCTCTATCACCTCGTGAAGTAAGTAATTGGTGTCATGTACGTGTAGTTAGCACTTAAATTCAGCGAATTTCATGATATTTGGCAAAGATATATAAGTACAAATGCACTGATCAGAATCACAAGAGGAACGTCAATTCTAATGCATTGGGAGTATTTTCTGCCATAACCTTCGCTATGCCCATCACCTCTTAAAAAATCCCCATTTACATTGTCTGGTCTGGCCACTGTACTGGCATGGCCCATGAAACTTGACCCCAGGACATTCCCCAGAGGCAGTACTGTGAATTCTGCGAGATGTGATAAATACCTGCAAGCTTAAAGCTGGCCATATAGATTACTCAAATTTTGGCCAATTTCTGCTAGAGTTTGACTGTGAGGACAATCCGTGTTTCAATTGCAGTAACTAAACTGAAAAAACTTTTGAAGGAAATAGGGATGCACCGATACCGATACAAGCATCGGTATCAGCGGCGATACAGAGTATTTGCATGAGTACTCGTACTCATGCAAATACTCCGATACATAAAACGAGTACCTGTGCCATCTCTGAGGATACGAGACCGCCGACCTCCATAGCGTCTGCATTAAAAAAACATGGCCGCGAACTTCTCCTCCACGGCCGCAGTAAACTCCGCCTCCAAGTCCTCAGTTCTCACTCCTGACTGGAGCGGAAGCCTGTCAATTACCCAAATGGCCAATCAGCGGGAGAAGAGGCCAGCATGGAGCAAATTACTAGGCTGTGACACGGAGTGGCTGAAGGAGACGTCACAGCAGCAGGTTAGTAGCACCGCATGGCGGCTGGGCACATGACAAAAAAATATATATATGCCTGTAATGTCGTAATGTTTACTGCATATGCCATATAATATAAAAAAAAAGACAATAGAAAATGAATATATAGATTATGCTTATTGCTAACTAAGGCTTGCATCCCCATAGTGGGGAAAATAGATGAGCACATGTCCAGACTCCAGAACACTGTAGTGTTCCACAGCTATATCCAATTCTGTAAACCTGGCTTTATATTATAAAAAAGGAAAAGTAAGTATTAATTTAAATACTCGTGTCTCGTGGTGAGACGTTGCAGTACATTAATGGTAGTGTTATATATATATATTAGGGATGCACAGATACTTTTCGAGTACCAGTGGCGATACTTGGCATTTTCATGAGTACTACCAGGGTTGCAGCTGTTGCAGCTGGGACCGGGCTCTGGCACTCCACCACTGTCCTGAAATCATTAGTCTGTATTGTTTTAGAAAAAATGTCACATGACAAGAAACAAAAATGTATCAGTACTTGTACTTGTAAGTACTCGGCAAGTATCAGTACTGGTACTCGCAAAACTGGTGTCTATGCATCCCTTTATTTATAAAAACAAAATCATACATTAAAACAGAGATGTACAAATCCCAGGAGCTCCGTGTGCACCTTACAAATGACAGCTGCCTCCTAACTTTTGAATGTTTCTCTAGTCTAGTCTTGGAGCTCAAAAGTATCGGTACATGTACTCGCACTTGTACCGAGTACTGTACTTGGTATCTGTGCAACCCTAATATATATATATATTTTTTTTTTTTAAATGAATACTTACTTTTCCAAGATGTCTTTAGGCTAGTCATGTGATGTGCAGGTTTCTCTTTCTCTTTGGATCTTCTTCTGCAATAACTTTTCCTTCAGATATCAGTGTGCCTCTCTGCATTGTTGTCTGTGAGTGCAGGCTGCCATCAGGATCTCCCCTATGACTCCTTTTACTCACAGGACAACCTGAGTCTTGCAGACCAACACACAGCAAATATGTCACGGGAAGATATATACATATACAAGATTATATACATATAAGTATAGGACAGAGAAAAGGGAAGGCCCAGAGGGCCTGTACGGCCAGAACAGGCCTGCACATTGGGCCTGTACACTGTGCACACTTGAGCAATGCATTTGAGGTTACAGTTGGTAAGAAATAAACACCGGGGACTTGTTTTTATAGCGCGTACATTTGGGACACGCCTGTATTCGTACAGTTCTGTCTCTGGCTGTTTATTTAGCAGTCTCGTGGTGAGACGTTGCAGTACATTAATGGTAGTGTTGTCAGCTCCACTTTCATCTGACATCATTCTCTCTCGGTAGCCTAGTTATATCAAAACATGATTTCACAGAATCTAAGCCTTTGTCATCTTCTTCTGAAAGCCTGCCTATTCCCCGCACATCTGTAATCCTTCACTGTAGCTGCACCCAAATTTAATGTCTCCGCAGCCAGATCTCCTGACACCAGAAAACGTGAAACCCCGCCATCCTCATTTATCAAGGTTTTAGGCTTTAGATTTAAAGAGACCCTGTCACCAGCCTTAAAAAATGCCAGTATTTTACAATACCTGCTTTTGCAAATCACTATTTTCTTTTAGAAAGGAAAGGAGTCCTACAAACTTGACATTGTCATAATACATTGGGTGTGAGTGATTGTAGACATGTCTGTGAAGGTTCTCATTCATCCAGGTCATGACATATCTGTAAAATATAAGTCAAGGCACATGGCAACAAGAAAAATACGGCAAGTCCAGTTGCCTTGACTTATATTTTACAGATACTTGCATTTAACAGTTCCATAGGGAACGGCATATCGAATCAGCGTGCACTAGGTAAGGTACCAGGCCTCTGACCCTTCTGGCATTTCAGCCTTAAAGCACACAAATCCTTATTCCTTGACTTACAATATGAAATTCAAACAAACAACCATTGCCCTAAAAAGTAACTTTCAGACTAAGGAGAGAATGTTTCAAGAAAAACCACACTGCGGTTTCAAAATCATATGCCACCATTCAGGTTTTCAGAGGTGGATACACATACCTGCAGTTTGTCTTCGTGGTTTGTCAAGGTAACTGGACTTGCTGTATTTTTCTTGAGGACGTTTCACTAGTCATCCAACCAGCTTTCTCAATCTGTAGACAGATTCTTTACATACAATCCAAGCCCGCCATACGCTTTGAAGGTGACCTATATACTATCATATGTCATTCACTGTTCCATGCGAATAATGTCATTAAGGGTCACAACCTATTCCTCCAATGTAGGAAGTACTTGGGATTTCCAGTGTTTTGGGGTAACCTGTCCGGCTGCTATAAGGAAGAACCTCAGAGATACTTGAGAAAATCACTCATCCTCATAGTTCGAGCCGACGGGTGACAATGAAACTGTCACAGGTCGGCTCAATAGATCCGGAAGTGAGCGAACACATACCGTTGCTCGCTCACTTCTCGATCGTCTCCCTGCAGAGAGTAACGACTGTCAGTCACCGCTCCTCGCAGGGATTCCCCTCTCCGATCCTCCAGTGCTGACGGAAGGAACGGATGGGGAGGGGGTGGGCACCGCTGGCTCTTCCTCTAGATAGGCAGAGCCAGCTGTCACTTACGCAGCTGGGTGGATCCAGACAGTAATGTCGGGATCCGTCCTGGCTGCGGCGGTGTCAGTATACCGTGAGCTGTAGCGAAGGAGGCCATGTAGTCCGATCCATGGAGGCCTCACCTCACAACTTACAGGACTTAAAGGATCTGCTACTGATAACACTGCATACCTTCAGAGGTCTAGTGGAGTCCATGCCTCAATGGGCCAGGGCTGTTTTGGCGGCAAAAGCGCGACCTACTCAAAATGACTTGGTGATGTAACTTTACCCATGGAATAAAAAGAACTTTGCTTGGAGAACCTTTGGGGTGCTGGTGACTTAGTGTTTTGTTTATCTGATGCAACAGCACCATCCGCTGTCATTTCAGCACCCCCTCCATTGGAAGTTGGGGCAATATCGGTCAGGAGTGTGGTGGGATCCCCTACATGACTTTACTCAATATTAGGCAGGGAGGGAGAGGACGGGAGAGATCCAGAGTGTATAAGAAAGAACAGGGAGAGTCAAACGGAAGAGGGAGAGAAGGGAGAGAGAGAATAGGTCACCTCTACAGCCTCAATCCAGGAGGCTCAAGTATTCCGGGGATCCTGGTATTCACTTTTATATGTGTCATTTGTATTATTTGGAATGTTATACGTCCCGGCTGAATATCTTGGCCTAATAGACACAGTGAACAACACATTTTATTGTAACACTGAAGACCAATAAAGAAAGATGTGGACATTTCATTTCACTACCTGAACATTTTTTGACCGCTTTATTAAAATTGGAAATGCGGTGTAATTCAGATTTGAAATGTTAAAATACTTCTATACTTGCCAGGTAACACACTGATCCGATAATGTAAGCCCTGGTTCACACCTAGGTAGCACCATTTGTGCGCTAGTTAGCAGCATGCGGTTATTTGCGCATTTATGCGCTTTTTAACACGCGTACATGAAGATCCACGTTTTGCTTGGCAGCTCATAAATCATTGTGGGCAATGGAAGAGCGCGTGTATAAACGTGCATAAACACTCACGAAAATGCTCAACATGCTTCTGTTGTGCTTTTTTGGGCATTTCCAATGAAGTCTGTGGGGAGGAAACTTTACCTGCCCAAAGAAGCTTCTGTATCTTTTCAAGCGTCTGGCATTTTCCTGCTAAGCGTTTTTCTGCTCAGGTGTGAACCAGGGCCATTGAAAATCATGGGATTTCTTGTGTTGGGCAGTTAAAAGCGCTTTTCGAACTGCTCAAAAACGCCTAGGTGTGAACCAGGGCTAACATTTTTTGTATCTCTTTTAATTAATTTAACTTCCACTTTATGTGTCATTGGCCAGCATGTATGAAATGGATATTTTTTACCTAAGCAATGTTTTTATTTTCTTCTTTCAGGGTCAGGGGGCACTTTCAGAAAGACTGAGAAGTTTTAGCATGCAGGACCTGTCTAGCATTCGTGGTGAAAGCCCATCGCCGTCTCCGGTGACTGTGCGCACATCGAGCAAATCCACCAAGTCTAAATTATCCCGGAGTGCAACCCAGGGCAGCGAGCCATCAGGTTGGTGGAGATGTCATATAACCGTATCCTTGTCCACCATGTCACCTTCTCACCTAACGATGTCCTACGTGTCACTGTGATCACACTGGTCTCACAAACCGCCATCCTGAACAATACACAAATGATGTAGCTTACAACAGACAACTGAGCTTTGTTTCAGTCTAATCCCAGCATGCAGACGTATGAGGGAAATTGTTCTTGCCTGATGCAGAAATCTGCACTCCTGCTATACATAAATGGTACATTCCTAAAGCAATATTCTGTTTATACTGTACGGGCTGACAAAAAGAGATTCTTTCACCCGAACCCTTGGTCCAAAATTTACAAAGATTTCAGCTGTACCATGAAGTCTTATTGAAATACTAGATGGCTTGGTCTTAAGGCGGACCTGAGTCCAGATGTGAATATTCAAGTATTTCCATATTCCTAATGTGCTTCAAAGCAATCCCACACTGACCTCTGTAGCTGCAGTCAATGAGGGGAAATTAATTCTCAGTCTAAAGCACTTCTGCGCTCCTTCGCATAACTCCAGCTCCATTATTTATTAGAAGCCTGCCAAGTCACTGCTGGGAGGGGGAGCAAGGGGAGCTGAGCTGTTGAGTCAATGCTAGGAGAGGGAGCTGAGCTGCTGAGTCACTGCTAGAAGCAGGCAGGAGAAGCTGAGCTACTGAATCACTGCTTGGAGGAGAAACATAGGGTGCTGACCTGCCGAGTCGCAGTTGGGAGATGAGCTGCTCTATAAGGAGGGGCAGGGGATACTGTGTTGCTGCTGGAAGGGGGGAAGTTCAAAGGTGAACTGAGTTGCTGAGTCACTGCTGGGAAGCAGGAGCTTGAAAAGATGAATTTCGGAGTCATCACTGGGAAGGGGAAGCAAGGGGAGCTGATCTGGCAGAGAGATGGACTTCAGTGTTTTTTCTTGCAAAGTGTGAGCATGAACTGCTCCACAATGCCTGCAGCTGCAGAGGTCAGTAACAAGTCAGGTTCTATATTAGAATTCACACAGTTTTCCAGTAATTCAGTTCTCAAAGGAATAAAATGATAGTCGCTGTTTTGCTTAGAGGAAATGCTTGCATAGCTCAAAAGTACTAAAGTAGCAATAGACTGGAGAAGCAGGAACCAGGAGATGCACATGCCATTTATAGCTTTATGAATGCCCCCGGAACCTTGAATACAATGGTACACATAGTGATTTTAAAGCTGACTTTAAAAATTGCTTATTGTTATATACCATTAAATAATGATTGAATTGATACCAGCCTCCTGTAAGGGCCTGCACAGTAGCACTCACACCTGGAGAGGGAGGGGATACTAGAACCAGACTGCTGCATGCACATGTGCTGACAGGCGACATGGTAAAGCAGAGTAGAGGGATTACCTCATCAGTGTGCTGCTGCTACTTGCAATCAGCAGGCTGGGGTGTGTTTATCTAAGTAATCTTTCTGCTATAGCAGTCATTTATTTCTATATGCTGATTCTAAGGCTCCATTTACACCTGAGCTGTTGTCCGCACGTATTTGGCTGTACGGATACGCGCGGAGCCGCTCTAAGCAGGGAATTCAATGCACTTAAATGTGCATCGTTCACACCATTGCGGGGGCCGTGTGGTACGAAACTGCATGGCCCTGAAATAGTACAAGCGTGATAATCCGGCGGATTCCGCACGTTCGCGGCTATTATCAGCAAAAGAGTGGCATCCGTGGGGATTTTAAAATGTTAGCGTTTTCGTCCCGCACGTTCTTCCGCGCGGAAAACCATGCGGGAACCGCAACGCTATGTGTGAATGCAGCCTTAGTCAGTAAAAACCTCATCCATTTAAAAACTTGGGGTCTTCTACCTTCTTAATTTGCAAACCTTACCACTGGTAGTCCAATTCTTTCCACTTAATTCTGTTTTCCATTATTTGAAAGTTTCCTTTCACTATTGGGCCATGTTTAGGCATAGGAATAGTATTGCCATCTATATACCAGTGTCCAGCCTGAGGGTGGCCGCTGTTTATCTTGTAGCTACTTCAAAGGCAAAAAAAGATGGCTGCCACTCTGTCCAGTAAGTTGTGGAAAACCAACATGCTGTGGTTTCACTCTCTTTTGAAGCTACAATAGTTTCAGTATTAACTTCATGAGGTCATTATATGTAAATGTCTCAAACCCTCACCCCCAACCACCACAATACATATAAATAGTATGAGTATTGTACACAGCAGAATGCGGGGAACATAATTACAGTGAGGACACAGGACTGTTTGTAGGGTAGCTGACTTTATTCTGTATGTCGTTTGTCACTTATTCACAGAGAATGCACGCTTTGTCCTGTGTGCATGCGATCGTATGACTGCTAATCATCTCACTTAATGACTATACGAATAATATGTTATTTTAGATAATATATTATTGTAAAAGGTTAATTGCATCTATGTACTAATATTACTGCAATAGGAGAAGCATTGATACTTGTAGTGCTGGAACATTTCAGCTGTCTGTGGCTTCAGTAAGGGTGGCACTGTATTGGATTAGTCACAGCTTTTGTCCAGACGGATGTTGCATTAAAGGTCAATTGGACTCTTTTTGTTGCTCTCTGCAGTTTCTCTTATATTGGAGTCTGTGGACAAAGCTCTGATAATAGGCTTTCACTGGTGAAAATGCATCATTCAGGATGATTGCACTGCTACAATGTATATGTTAGTAAAGAGGAAGTAAACCTATCTAAAAAAAAAATAGTATTCTCAAAAATGCATAGTACTCTCTGCAGCCTGCTTACTTAAAGCAAAGAATGGATGGTCTGTACCCTGGGTGCTGGTACGGCTCATTGCACTCCAGCAAATCAGTCATAAAAGAGCATAAATCACAGCCAGGGCTTTCCCTAAGGTATTCCCCGCCTGAGACGATGTCGTCCCGGGATAGGGGTTGGTGGCAGAGAACGGTCACAGCTGGGTGGGGAGGGGATGGGCAGTCACCAGACTGCGCTGTCAGCGGCTCTGTCCAGCTTCCTGCCCAGTTCACCGATGTCACTGGTTGCCAGGAGCTCGGCAGAACACCAGCCAGAGCGCCCCACTCAGCTCCTGGCAACCGGTGGCATCAGTGTGCTGGGCGGGAAGCCAGACAGAGCACCCCAGTTTGCCAAGTGGTCAGGAAGCAGGCTCACAGGTAACCAGGACTAGTGAACAGAAAGTATGGACACACAGGTAAAAAACTGAGGCACTAAGGCCCCATTCACATGGGGTGTTCTGGAAACCCTGTGGCAGGACTCTACAGATTCCTGCGGAAGGAATGTACCATACATGATTACAAGCGGACTGCTGCTGCCAGATGTGGCCACTGTCACCCTGTCATTAACTTCACTGGGTACAGCAGCCACATCGCACCTAGGATTCCTGCCACAGGAATCCAAAGGTTCTTGCCGCACAAATCCCAAAACACGGCATCTATGCACGTGTGAATGGGGAAGAGGAGCTAAATACCCTCCCAGACTAATTACTGGGAACTGCTTGCTGCTGGGAGACACCCGCTTGTGAATGATGGAACTAAATGCTTGAGGTCCGAGGACCACAGTGCCACCAGCAGATGTTCTGGTTCCTTATGCTCTCTGTAAATCCTGGTGGTCAGTCTAAGATAACTGGGACAGAAAGTGATGGGAAATCCAAACTTTTATAGATGTCGCCAGAACGCAAAGTAAGAGGGACTCTTCCAATGGGGACACTTGTTATGGTGACAACCTTCTAAGAAAGGATATCACCTTAGTTTAGCAAATATTTCCTCTCACTCCTTATTACTAGGTTTGTATATTGAAATTCCTACGTAGAGCCGCCCATCCGACAGTTCATAAAATAATCAGATTTATTGAACGTTCATACCATCCAAGTACACAGCAAAATCATCCCATACCGATCCCATAGCCAATAGGTTTGTATGTTCATTGTTTGAATGATTTTGGCGAGCACTAAACGTATGAATGTTACGTGCTTTTGTTTCAAAAGATACCCCAGCTGAATGTTCTTGAAGGGAATCGTTGATTGATTGGCTTTATTGAGTTGATCGCGATAGTTTTTTCGAGATAAGGCCAGGACTTGGGGATCCCCCCTTTTCTCCATGTTTTAACATGTCCGCTCAGGCCGTAGAGGCGTACTGGTTTAGAAATCTATTTATTTTCAGTCGGACGCTGTTTTCACGCCCAAACTCCAAAAAAATTCTGTTACTAATAACAAATTGGAAATCAAAGGGTAGGAGAATTTCCTTGTGTCTTAGTTATTTGGAATAATTCCATACAGTAGCCTAATGTTGGCCCATTTTGCAGTGTGTACGTGCTGTTCCTCCGGCAGAGTCCTGAGAGGTGAGTGTAATGGCTCCATCCAAGGCTTCTGTCCTAACAGCTTTGAATTGCCTTTCCTTGGACTGATAATCATTTGTGTGCAAATACATCATTAGTGTGGTAACCCCATTTTTGGTCAGACTTCGTTACTAACCGTGGATCATTTGCTAGAGGAAATCTGTAGACTAGAAGAAGATGACTTTTCATGCATGGAGCTTTTCTGTGCTTTACAGAGGAGACTGTAGTGATGTGTTTGAGCTGTATATGGCGTCTCTACCTTGTATGAATATCTATGGGATAATGTGCCCTCTACTGTGTTATATGAGCATAGCAGTGTTAGGGAAGATGTCTTTATAGGCAGGGGGGGATCCATAATATGGTTTCCAATATCCTTATTGTTATCTGCATTGGTTCCTTATTCCCAATACACAATTGCATTGCACTTATTTCTAACACTTTGGTGTTAATATTGCATGAGAAAGTGTTACATACGAAAACTGATTTATAATATAACATAGTGATATATGAAAAGTTTTTAAAGTGTATCTCTAGGCAAAACCTTTTTCATTCATTGAAGGACACAGTGGAAAGATCTTGATCTCTGTACCGATGGGTTATACCACCACTTACAGGAGTAGGTATAACCCATCGGTACAGAGATTAAGATCTCCACTGTGTCCTTCAATGAACGCAAAGAAAAGGATTTTACAGTGAGTACAAAAAAATCCTATTTTCTCTTTCGTTCATTGATGGACACAGTGGAGATCTGGATCTCTGGCGGGTGTGAGGAGGAACATGTCGCTGTTAGATCACTGACAACCTGTCAGTGATCTTTGCAGTGGCACGTACCGCCTCACAGCCGCTGCTGTTTCAGTGACAGCCGGCGTCGGAGCAAAGGAGGAGACGGGGCCCGGCAATGGAAGAGGAGACAGGGCCCGGCGATGGAAGAGAAGGTAGGGCCCTGTGCATGAGGGAGAGGTGGAAAGCGAAACGGGGCTGACAGGTAAGAGGTGTGCAGGGGTGTGACCAGCCCACCTGAGACCCTGCAGAGCCCACCATGGCGGGCTCTGCAGGGTCACTCTTAGGTGAGTGGTTTGGGATCTCAGGTGGGCTCTGCAAGGGGCGTAACTAGAAATCACAGGGGCCCATACAAACATTTGCTATGGGGCCCTGTGATTTCTAGTTACACCCCTGGTTATACCTACTCCTGCAAGTGGCGGTTTAACCCATTGGTACAGAGATCAAGATCTCTACTCTGTCCTTCAATGAGCGTAGAGAAAAGGATTTTACAGTGATTACTAAAAAATCCAATTTTTTTGGGATGGATTGGGGAAGTGTTAGACCTTCTGTCTATGGTTGTCTGTGTCTCGTGTGGGGAGATTCACCCCTCTCGTTGTCGGCGAAATCCAAAATTTTAGAGTTGTCCCCAGAATAATTGGTAAAGGGAAAATCTTCCAACAGAAATGTCTGTTCTGTGGACAAATAAGAGGGGAAAGTCCCATCACTTTGGGAGATTTCCTCTAACTTCCTGTTGCATTTCTGGGACAGGAATGAAGGGAAATTTCACCAATGGTGTGCAGACAGGAAAACAAAATCATGGCAGGGGTTTTAACCCTTCCCTACTCCATCCAAAATTTTAAAAAAAGTTTTGTCTATACATATACTTTTATGTAAACCTGTAATGAACACATATGAAGGCTGCCATTGGCACTTCTAAAAAGGTCCGTTCATGGCTGTCTTGATGATCCAATGCTTCAGTGTTTTTTAAATCACTGATTCAGAACAAGTATGGAGGTGAGGCGTTTTAGCTTTACATTGACTTTCCTGATCTGCATGCTTGTTCTAGGCCAGTAACTTGGAACATGTAGAACCAGAGAGAGACAGGCAACTGGCATTTCAGTCGGCGGTCTCCACAGGGCTGTTCCTACCTTTCAAGCCACCTGAGCCCCTTGAGCCGGCAAGGGGGTTGGAGGAGTGGTAGGGGGGCGCTGCTGCTTGTCGTCTTGTCCAGGGTGGAGGGTGCTGCTGGTCATCTGGGTAGGGGGCGCAGCTGTGTGTGCTTCTGCTGGTTGTGGGTGGGGGGAGCGGAGGGTGGC